TAAATGTGTCACGTTTCTAATGTAAATATTTATGTACCACCCCGATGTTACACATGACTTCGGAGTAATTTGTTACACCTTCGCTTCTAGTAAAAATTCGTGAAAATTATTTCATTAGAGATGCCACAAGTAGAAACTATACATTTTTTTTAACCTCACATATAATTACGAAGTTTATTTGAAAATTATTATGTAAACAAATTTTTTGTCAATTGAAAACGTGATTTTACATATAGTCGCACAATGTAATTTCAAGATCGTCACAAAGTGATAAATGTGATAAATCAAACTTCCATCATGCTTATTATATTACCTTTACAATACTACTCTAATAAGTCTTGTTTCATTTAGATCATTGGTTCTCATGTGATATGACATAATTTAACCGTTTTGACTTCATGTATAGTATGAACGTGTAAAACAATTAATAAGATTGTAATCTTCGCCTCATATTTATCTGCTAACTCCTTAGTTGAAACTTGATGTATCATCTAAAAATATAAGATTGCATATAAGAAAAAACAATGTTATGTAAAACGGTTAAATAATCTAAGAATATAAGAATATAAAAATACAATCTTCGCCACATATTTATTCACCAACTCCAAGTTATCATCCTTAATACAATGTGTAATGTAATAAGCCATCAATCTACAAGTGGATTTTTTCAATTGAAGATAAATCTTTCTATTAGAAACACATTATACAATTAGGATAATAAATAAGAAGAAAGTATGTTAAATAAATAACATCATGTACTATTATAATTTATACTACTACCATACATTTCTTTGTCTACTTTGAGGAAAGTTAAAATAGCTGTTTTCCGCTTTTGGTGATTTATCTAAACGATACTACAGTACATATGAAAGAAATTTCGAGTAAAAAAATGCTATCAATGTTATGTATAATAATAATAAATGTCTATGTTGAAGAAAGTTAAATAGCTGTTTCTGCTTTTGCTGATTCCTAGAAAGCTCTTATTGAATATCTAAGCCATAATACATATTAAGTATATAAAAGGAACTTCAAGTAAAAAAAATGTTAATGTTATTTATAATAATAATAAATGGGGGTTTTTCCAGAAAAATCGGGCTCTGAGAATAATAATTTTTTTTTGAAAAAAATAGATCAAAAATCTGTTACACGAGATCAGATTATTTTGAACCCCAAAAATTTGATACTATTTTTAGATAACGAATTAATTTGTGATACAAGAATTATTAAAAATAAATCGGCCGAAATTTTCACTTTAGTAACAAAATTGAATGGTGAAAGGCCAAATTTTTTTTATAAATAATGCTCAAAAATTTTCTAGAAAAAAGAATAAATATCCAATACAAATACCCAAATATCATTATAAAAAATAAAATATGTCTTTAAATTTTGAATTACCAGAAGATTTAATTCATAATGATACAATGGAATTATCTGAAACCCTTACTTTTTCAGATGAACTATATGATTTAGGATTGGATGCATATGAGCCAAATGAATTCATGTTTAAAGCTGTTGAAGATTTGAAATTATTTTTTAATGACAAATCAAACTGTAAATGTTGAGCCAAAAATGCAATATGTTTTGAGGAAATTGGCTTTGTAAATTTCCTAGAAAGACAATTTCAACTAAAAGGATTGGATGACAATGAACTGGATCTCTGTATTAAATCACAATTAATGGTTTTTCAATTTTCTAAAAGTGAAAACAATATACAAACTCGTTATAAATATCAATATAACTCATCAATACCCATTTGTCAACGAGTTTTTTTAAAATTGTGTGGCATTGGTAAATCTAGATTATTAGCTTTACAAAAGCATTTAAACACAGATGGTCTAATTGAACGCGTTCATGGCAATACTAATAAAGTTCCTGAAAATAAGTCATGTGTAACTGTTGATTTTAAAATTGCACAATTATTTAAGGACTTTTTATTGCAATATACAAATTTACATGGATTACCATCACCAATGAAAATTAGAGATGATTTAGAAGCAATAATTTATTTGCCAACTTATATGAAATATACTACAGTATATGAGGAATTTAAGATGCATTTTAATTTGGAACATGATTCTGATAAACCTATTTCATATACTACATTTTACAAACTGTGGAAACTATTAACACCATATATTAAATTTCAACCGTCTGGAAGTGATCTTTGTGACACTTGTGAAGGATTTAAGGCAGATATAAAATTCACAAATGATGATGATGAAAAAGAAATGCTAAAATTTAAATATAAAAACCATCAAATAGATGCAGAACGAGAAAGAAGCCATTACAATGAAATAACCAAAAAAAGTAAAAATGATTCAACAATAACACACATTTGTTATGATTGGGCTCAAAGTGTTGCAGCTCCATTTTCCCCTCAACAAGTTGGATCAATTTTTTTCAAATCCCCTTTTGTCATACATCTTTTTGGTATATGTAAGACAGATTATGATGAAAATAATCAATTAAATTATACTATAGGAGAAGATGAGTTACCAGAAGGAACATCAAAAAAAGGAGCTAACACTACCTTGAATATGGTTTATGATTTCCTCCAAAAGATTGATCATACTGGTAAAAAGGATCTTTATGTTACATGTGACAATTGTTCTGGACAGAATAAAAATAATTTATCTCTTTGGTTTTGGTCATGGTTAGTGATGATGGAATGGTATGAGAGTATTTATATAAATTTCATGATACCTGGACACACAAAATTCATTTGTGATGCTAAATTTGGGTCCATTAAAAAATTATACAAATCCAGTCTTATAAATACTGTTGATGATGTTGAAGAGGTTATAAACAACTCATCTGAATATAATAAATCTATTAGATATAAGAATGGATTAGGTTGGAAATGGCAAGACTTTGATTCAATGTTAAAGGATTACTTTAGAACTTTACCAAATATTAAAAAGTATCATCATTTTTGCTTCAGTAGTTCACAAAATGATATTGGAATTGTCTATTTTTCAAAAAAATCTGGTGGAGAAGAATATTCTTATAATCTCCTTAAGAATACAGAATTTGATAAAAATTCACAAAGGAATATTCTTGAAGCTGCACCTTTAACAGATGTGCGCAAAAAATATTTATATGATAAAATTCGTCAGCATGTAGATGCTCCATATAGAGATATTCTTTGTCCAAACCCTAATTAAATTTCTATTATTATTATTATTATTATTTATATCATTTAACGTTTTTTTTTGTATTTATTTATTTTATCGAATTTGGTGTAACAATAAAAATAGGGTTTGCAAATCTATTTTTAGATTTTATGCAAATTAATTTAAAAGGTTTTTCATTGCGCGATCACACATTCTTTTACTAAACAAATATGGTCTAATATTTTCACCAATTATAATCCTTATGTTATTGGTTGATATTAAGTAAAAAACTCAATTTTGGTCAGAAGTGGTGAAAACCCGATTTTGCTAGAAAACCCCCCAAATGGGATATTATAAAACTGTTAATAATTATAATCACATTATGAAATGACTAAATTTTGATCCCTGAAATTCTTGGTATATAATACCAATGTTCACTTTGCCTGGTTTTGTTGCAGCATGCCTCATATAAGTAAAGTGGGAATGTTTATAGTCTGCAACCATGGCACCTGGACTATAATTAACCCATACATATGGCCAAAAAAAAAACGAAATAAGCCACAAATGAATGTGGTCAAAAAAATGAAACATGCCACATGGTCTAGACCCAAGATGGTGAATATGACTCCCAAATGTGACCAGTATCACATAATCGGCCATGGGGATAATTATAGTCCAAACTAAGTGGGGTCTAAATAGTCTGTAATTATCCCCACTGCAAGGTAGGTCACTTGGATCTTAAAAATTCTATCAAAAGCTCTCTGGAAATATAGAATGTATAAGAAATAATCAAAATTCACTAAATGAGAAGTCATTCCTAGAACAATACCATCCTTAATTTAAACTATTACTACTTTTTTGATAACTATTATCAACAGTATTGCTACTAATAATATTTGTATCTTTGTTTTCATCATCTTTGTCATCTTCAATCTCTATCACTGACTTTTTTACTTTGTCAATTCATTGCTGGACTGCTTCTATAGTTTTTTTTCTAGCATTTGTTTTTCATTGATAGAAGTAAGCTTTTTTTTTTTAATGTTGTTATGTATGAAAATATTGTTTTTAAATTGTGTTTAACAATGATTATTGAAGGATTTGTTATTTGATATTTTTACTTGAAAGCAAGTGAACTGGTGATGTTTTTATAATGTTCTAGCATAAGGCGGGATTATGCTGTTTATTTACCTTGTTTCAATGCCAATTAGAGAAAAAATTTATTTAAAACACTGATGCAATATGACAATCATTAACATTAAAAAAAATCATGTGTTACAAATTAAATAAATAATAATAATAAATTCGTCTGGTGAATTTTTATCACAGTTGGTGTAACCTTGTACGTTTTATTACTACGCGTTGATTTTCTTTAATTTATAAAAAAATGAATGATAATTTGAATGATCTGGTAAATCTCGGTGACGACGACGAGGTTGAACAAATGGATGATATGGATGGGTTTGTAAGTGAAAATATTGATTCAATGAGAAACGAAGACAAATTTATAAAAAGCGAATTTAGACATGATGGTAAACTTGCACATTAATAATAATAATATCTATAAATAATTTATCTTTTACTTTTTTTATTTTTACTTAATTATATAAATGAATAACAATAGAATTATTTGAAATTGGTTATTTGGCAATTTGGTCATTATCAAGTTGGAAGTTGGGAAATGGCATTGATAAATTACGTGATGATAGTGATATTACTTACTGGCAGTATGTAATTTTTTATTGTGCTTTAAATATGTTTTTTTACCTTTATCTATACCATTAACGGATCAATCTAATATGTATTAACATTGTAATCAGATCCGATGGAACACTTCCACATTTTGTTAATATTCAGTTTCATAAAAAAGTGTTTGTAGTGGTAAATATTTTATTAATAATAATAGTTCATTTTTATATATACATTTCTCAAAAAGCGTATATAATAATATTATCATTTAAAAAATTATAAAATAATAAAAAGCAAATATCAATTTGGGTTGATTATAAAAATGATGAAAGCTATACACCAAATAGAATAACTGTTAGAGCAGGCACACACTTTGGAGATCTTCAGGTACGCACATACATGTTTATTTATATTTACTTTTAGATCAGAGAATAAAATTTATCCGACTAATTAAAAATTTAGGATTTACGAACGGTTGAATTGGATAGGCCTTGTGGTTGGATTGATATACAAATAAGTGGTGATGAAATATTAAGGTAATTTTTTGTTTTGTCAATTATTGATTATAATTTTAATTGAGTTTTTGTGACGATAAATAAATAAATAAATATTATATAAATATTTATATTTGTATTTTTTAGTAAGGAAAGTCATCCAGTAGGAGCAAATCTTTTTCAAATTGCAATTAAATCCAATCATCAGAATGGAAAAGATACTCGAATTAGACAAATTAAAATATTTGCACCAAAACCGGATATGTATGTTATAATTTTTTTATGAAATCATTTATTTACTTATTAATAATCAAATGAAATTTTTAATTAGGATTAAACAACAATTCAAATTAAATACAAATTATGAGGATGACTCTGATGAAGAATTAATAACTTTTCCGGCTACAGAATCTTTTCCTGTCGTAAGATGATGATAATGGACTGATTGATTGAATTGAAGGTTAGTTATAAAAAACTTGTTTATTATTATTTTAATTTTCTTTATCATCTTTTTAAAGATATAAATGTTGGTTCTCATATTATATATATATACATATATACATATGTATTAGTGGAAAATAATTTTTTCATATAAATTAAGAACCATATATTAAAAAGTTTAATGAAGACCTGATATCAAAGTTATGATAAAATCAGGACAGATACTAAACTAACAGCAAATAGTTAAAATATGTTATAATTTTTATAAATATTCTCATTAAACTAATTGATTGAATTTTCTCTACTTGATGTTATTATATTATAATAAAACTAGACGAAATGAATAAATCAACAACTTAGAGATAACATCACAATAGCGCCAATGGTTATTCCTCAGTATTTTTATTTCAATTATAATAAGATTAATTAATTAATCCATTAGCAGTGTATGTTAGTTTTAGGCAAATTAAAAATTTCTTCAATTTAAGGGTTGATTTTGATTATATTATTTATATTATTTATTCGAATGATGATGATGATGATGATGATGATTTTTTTTACAAAATTAAATTGTACTGGAAAAATTTGATTTTTTTATAATAATAAAAGAGGTAACTGTTTAATTATTATTAAAGAATATATATATTGATACTATGAGTTGGGAAAATGAAAAAAAAAATCTGTACATTAAAAAAAGCAGTTAAAAAAAAGAAAAAAGATAAAGAAATTATACAAAGAAATATATATATGCAAATGGTCATGAAATTATGCAATTTCTTTATACACGTACATATATACATGTATATGTATGTATGTATACATATATTAATATATGTATATAATAGATAGTCCAAACCAAAATGTTCATCATAATTTATTTTAGGAAGACTAGTATGTAATTATTTTTTTAACACTTGAAAAACTTCATAATCGTCTACTCCAAAATAATTACCCTTATCTCTTATTTTATTTTCATAACGTAAACCACCTGATGCATAACTAGAACCACATTCATGTGCATCGTCAATTATTTTTAATTCATAAAATCCAAAAGAAGGTCCGAGTTTTTCATGAAGTTGTATAGCATCCCCAACACAATCTTTCCTAACCCTGCTTAATTTAGCCTCGCTTAATACTTTACCTTCTCCTAATGAAAATATAAAACTATCAAGTGTACCACGCCATTCCACATCTTTTGGTGACGACCATCCAATTGGATTGTAGCCGCCTATAAGTTCTTTGGAATTACCTATTCTCACAATTACTATTGTAGCACCTTGCCCATCACATTTTGAATGAAATGTTTTTGCTGAAAATCCATCTCTACTCCCACGAAATAACAATCTGTGGCATAAATATAGAAAAATTAAAAAATTAATATATTACCTTTTTTATTATTTTGTTATTTTTAAAAAAAAAAAAAGTTCATTTACCTGAAATAGTATGAAATTGGAAAAATGTTACTTGGTATTTGTTCCTCAGTAACTATTTTTCCATCTATCCAAGATGCTATCAAAGCAGCATGTTGATGTGTAATAATAATAGAATCAATTGCTCTGTCAGAGATTGATCTTTTTATATTTGGAAAGAAATACATGTCATTTCCATTGGTATTATTATTTTTGTTGTTGTTGTTGTTATTATTATCATGATCAGGATTATTACTACTACTATTACTACCACTATTGTTGTTGATATTATTTACAATTGAGAAGCGTTGTAATAAACGTAGTTGTAAATTCTTGGGAATGATTCTTTTGTATGGTCTAACTTTATTATTAAACACTTCAGTAGAAAGCTGCCAAAATCTTATTAGAGGAATACATCGTTGAATGGTTTTCTCTAAAGAATCAAACTCATCCTCACTGCTCCATTTTGAAACATTATAATTTTTTATGGATGTAGAATTCTTTAAGCCCCATTTGATCAAATAATCCCAAATTTCACCTTCCTCCATGCACAAATCATCTCTACCTAATAATGATCAGGATTATTACTACTACTATTACTACCACTATTGTTGTTGATATTATTTACAATTGAGAAGCGTTGTAATAAACGTAGTTGTAAATTCTTGGGAATGATTCTTTTGTATGGTCTAACTTTATTATTAAACACTTCAGTAGAAAGCTGCCAAAATCTTATTAGAGGAATACATCGTTGAATGGTTTTCTCTAAAGAATCAAACTCATCCTCACTGCTCCATTTTGAAACATTATAATTTTTTATGGATGTAGAATTCTTTAAGCCCCATTTGATCAAATAATCCCAAATTTCACCTTCCTCCATGCACAAATCATCTCTACCTAATAATGACAGAAGTGTTGTTTCGTCCAAGTTAAGGAATTCTTCAGATTCAAAGTATTTACTTGGCCCTGGACAAACTATTGTCAGGCAGTGTGATCTCAATTTACTGCACATGCTACGTTCTATAACACTATTCAAAACAAACAAAACATTCTCCTGAATCCATTTAAGATTGTGTTGTAACAAGTAATCTTGAATAGGATTTATCAATTCTTCAAATATTAATTCATCGGCTGCCATTAAAAGTTCTAAAATATCTCTATCGTGTAATTTATCTAAAGTAAAACTTCCGGTATATATATACCTATATTTAAAATAATAATAATAATTTAAATGATATTATATATATGTGTGTGTGTGTGTGTGTATTATTTTAAAGAGGAAAAAAAACGTACCTAAGTATGACTTCAAATACTGTTGGAGTTATATTAGGTTTTTCAAATAAATAACTTTCACCGTGTCTTATTGCCCATTTTTTTGACAAGGCGGCTCGAAAATATTCAGACCTGGTTCTTAAGATGAGAGAATGTGCTTGAAACTGTTTGATTTCCAAACCCTTCCCAACATTAATTATTACGTCATAATCATCAGGATTTTCAAATAGAGTATAAAAATTACTCGAAAGTCTAGAGTAAAATTGTAAGGTCATTTAATTTTTTTTTATTTTTTTTAGCGCGAAAAAGTTACATTTTTTGTGAAAGGATTAGTTAATTTATAACAATTTAATTTCAATTCGTACAACCGTTACAATCCTCGATAACGTGATCGTGATCTTAAAATAATACAATATATATGGTGACCCAATTCAATGTTTATTTTTCTTCGAGAAGATTCAATTCAAAAAATCCGAAATCTTTCGGAATTTAAAATAATTTCGGCTCAAGCAATCTTATGTTTGGAAAGAATAACATTGAACTTTGCTTTGAGAAATTAATTGCATCTTGTAACGCCAGGTGGTAACATAATAAATAAAGAAAGTGTGATTGGTGCATAACTTGCAAAGAAACATGGTTCCTCATAAGTATTACACTAACATTCTAATGAATGTAATAAATTACTAAATATAGAACTGTTGTAAATATTTATTATTTTTAATTGGTAAGTAAATCGCAATAATTAAAATAAATAAATGAAATAGTAACAATAATATTATGATGATCATAGTTATTTTACTATTGTTGTGGGCAGATTTTATTGATTCTCATCTAAACAATTTTTCTATATAGTTAAGATGATAGTATCGGGTTTTTTAAATGTTTATTAAATTTCTTCAAATGCATTATTATGCCATTTTGAATATTTCTTTGGCGGTAAATGTAAAGTCAATATAAAACTTTGAAAAAGAAGGTCTCAGTTCTTTGAATTATTTCTATATGTTTACTTAGTACAAAATAGTTCTAGACCTGTTGATATCACAAGCCATCAAAACTCCCAAAAGAATATTACGTCATACATAATTAATTTATTTTTCTACCAAATTCATATTTATACTAATACAGCTAGGCTTCTTTTCGCAATCTTGCACATACTGACAGCGCGTGATTAATGTATATAGATGAAGTTATCTCAGCTTTCTCCCAAAAGGATCTTTTTGTCTTTGTCTTTTGGTGGGTTGATGCACAAAGTTTCAAAAAAATTGAAACGCCACTCTATATTGGTTTTTGTCGAAAATTTCTCCCGTGTAAACAATGCACGCGATGACACTTGATTTTGTCGATTCTTGGGACAGGAATGCGGACACGAAACGTCCGGGGAGGTCTCGTTCAGCTGAACAATACTACATCAGGAAACTGGTGGCATATATTCTAGACAAATACAGAGGATTTGCACATATCAATCTTTCAGTTAAGCCTTCGCCATTAAATGTGTTTATTCACAAATGATTGGGGAAATTTTTGCGATACATAAATAGAGATTTTACTCTGAAAAATTTTATCAAGAAATTGTTCAGTTACATTTTGATTTCTTTCTTTTCCGGCAGTTATTATTTTTCCCTTCTTGGTAAACTTTGTAAGCGGTTTTCTCTTTCCTTAGATCATCTTTAAGCGCCTGAATGTCTGCTGTTTCTCTAATAATTTTATTAATAATTTTTGTGCATAAAGTTGTACTCGGTAATGATTCCTTGTATTTTAAATACATAAACAATAAATAAGATGCCATTTCCTCATCCTGTTATTTAAAACCTTTAATAGTGCTATAATTCTTGAGTTCCACGGTGGATCCGGTATAAACACCACGCAGCTATAATCCTGTGATATATATACACATAATAATTAACACAAAAAAAAGATTTAACATTTTCCGTGTCACGATCTCCTTCCAAAACCTGCAAGTCATGCAACTTCCGTGCAGGTTTCTCGCCGATTGTCTCCTTTTGCGTCTAGCCGCGCCTGGTCTTTTCGGTTTTTGGCGCAATCAACGTTTTCACCATATTTAGCGAAAAATTGTGTCGTACAGAAAATGCTTTAGAATCAAATATCAGGAAATTGTTTTGTGGTAGATTTCTATGGGTATACATTTTCTAGTCGTGCTGAGTATCCTGCAGGTATTGTTTGATGGGTTGATAACTCAGATGTTTTATCTTTATATCATTATACTAATTCAGCGATCTTTTATATTTGTCCACATAGCTAATGACACACTAGGCGCCAATACTGCTGAGGAATTAGAATAATAGGAGAAAACTGCAAAAGAAATATGTGATAAAAGGCCATTCAATGATGAAGAAGTTCTATATAGTAAGGTTTACATAAAGATACAATCGCGAAAAAAGATTAGTGTCATAAAAAAAAGTATATTAGCAGTGGTTAATAATAAAAATCATAGTAATAGATAACAAATTCATAGCAATTGTAAATGAACGTATTTTTTATTTTACAAAACTTGTTACTAGAAAGTACTTGTTGCTATAATATGAAGAATTCCAAATCGTGTAACTTGAATTATTAACACCAATTCCATAGGTGCCTAAGCCTTCATGAGACATCATTTCATTCATAATCACCAACATTTCTCAACATATAATTTTGGACCTTTTCGACAGTCAAACAAAGATCAACCAAATGAGCGTGTATGTATATTTCCAAAAAACAAATGACCATATCCTATCAAAAAATAATTTTTACATTATTAATAATTATATAACATTGATGGTTACTTTTCAAAAAAATAAAAATAAAAATAAATAACTTAAGTGAAAGTGCGGCTCTAAAAATATTTAATAATATATTGTTATCGATCAATGTAAACTTCACGAATTAATACAAATAATGTGAACTTTTTTTCTTGACACCTTTAACATCTTTGATGTTTTATTTTTATTTTATACGACATAAAAACTTGTACCAATTTAAAATCGGTTTTTATTTTTATTTTTTTCTGAAAAAAAAAACTAATATATAGTAATTGTACAAAAGATTTATTTTGAGGAAGGGAAAATACTACCTATTGGATTTTTTGGCAGCTAAAATAGCAGCCAATCCTATTTTTGATTAATTAAAAAAAAATTTATTATTAGATTAATTCATTTAAATAAAAGACTTAAAATTAAAAACAATGTTATTTATAATTACCAGCACCAACGCCAGAACCGTCCCTTGCCACGTTAATCACAATCTTTTCAGAATTCGATCCAAACAATTCTCCAAGTGCAGCATATATATGAGCTTTAAAGTTTGGATAAGACTCAAACAATGAACCATCAATACCAATATCACATCCACATTCGATGACATCACAATGTGTAATTACACCAGCTAATGCAGCAGCAGATAACCTTGCAGCACGTAAACCTACTAAATGGCATATTTTTTTAACAATTTGTCTATCAGTCAATGTGGTGCTTGGTATATTCAATAATTCTTCCAGAACCTTTCTTGTATTTTCTAAATTTGGACTTTTGTCATCTTCAATTGTGGACATGTAAGCAGTTTCAAATGAATAATGTTTATTGAAAATTTGAGAAGAAAATCCACCAAATAACAATCCACGATCTATAAGGTTTAATAAAATGTTTTGTGTAATTTGTCCAAGATACATTCCAGAAATCATCTTTTCAAAAATTTGTTCACGTGGATTAATTGATTTACGATCAAGTTTGTTATCAAACATTGTGAGTGGTAATACCTTTCTCTAATAATCACGATAGAAAAAATATCCTCTGTTATAATTACAATTACTAAAAAATAATCAATCTATCCAAATATCTTTAGATAATTTACCTCATTATCAAAAGCACCCCATTCTATATTAACAATCATTTTTTCTTCAGTGTCAGTAAAGTTTTTTAATTTTTTAATATTGGAAATTTTTTCTAAAAAAGCACCATTAGTTCCAGTACCAAAGATAACACCAAGAAGAGTATTAGGATGTTCATAACTATGTGCTAACAAAGTACCTACAGTGTCATTGATTAAAGCAACAACTTCAACAGGAACACCTTTAAAATTCAAAGATTCTTGTAACATAAATACTACATCTTTTCCAGCAGCACCTGGACAATCAAAACCTTTTGTCCAGTGTATTAGCTTGCCTTTGTTAATGGCTGTCTGTTCAACTGGGAAACTAAATGTAAATCCCAATTTTAATTTTTCTCCCATGCTTAAATCACTGTCAAATTCTTCTGATAAAAATTTATCAACACAATCAGCTATAAATTCAAATAATTTGTGTGCCTCAGATCTTTTAAGATCCTCTGATATTTTATATTTTTGTTGTTTTATACGATGTTTCCCTTCCTTTTTAAAATCAATTTGACAAATCCTTAAGTTAGTTCCACCCAAATCAAGTGCTAAAGATGTACCAGCTTCTTTACCAGTTAATGAACCAGTAACTACAAACAAAAAAAAAATATCATTATTTATAAATAAATATATATATATATATCTATTAATACATTTGATAATTCTAATTTTACCAAAACTAGGTATCATAGCAACAGTCATTCCGTTATTTTCTAATCCTTTATTCATTTCATCACAAAAATGTGATACTATTTCACGTAATTTTTCAACTGGTAGTTCAAATTGACTGGTTATCTCATCAACAGCAATCTTTTGATTTTTGCTGGCCTCATCGATAGATTTTGACATGTTTCTTTTTAAAATATTAAATACGGGATTAAAATAGGAAATTTTAAATATGTTATTTAGAAAATCTTAATTTATTTATTTATTTTTATAAAAAATTTTTTTTTCTCATTCTAGGTAAAGTATTATTATTATTATTATAAGGGAAACCATGCATGAATGATCGAGAAAAGCATTAAATTAAATAATCAATCTTAATGAAAAAAGTTAAAATTACTATAATCTTATGTGGAAATTGCAGTGCAAGTCAATTTAGGTTATTAAATAAAAATTTAGAAAAGATTGACAATGTATACTATTTCTTTTTGGGAATTTTCTAATACGTTGTATAATTTGACGATTACGTTAGCAATTTAGTATTAGTATCAATTAAAAATTTTCATCTGGTCGTAAAACTGATGTTTTCTTTAGCGGTGATGGCAAAGATCGGGATAAAGATTATTCTTTAGACTTTCTTATTGAAAGGTGATTTATATCGATTAGAATCTTTGATTTAGCGAATGCCTAATAGAAATAGCAATAGGTCTATAGCAATAAATTCTCTTGAAACAATAATGAATTTTACTAATTAAATCTTGGTATAATAATAATAACGAGTTTTTAAAATTTTATCTACTCGCTGTGCAATTAATTGGTTTTCTAATCGCACTTTGACCTTTTAAGATTTGTATATCTTGGCCTCTTTAAGTACTTCATTTATCTTATGGGTTGGTGTAAATTATAAACAAACAACTAATTATTGTTATTAAATAATTTCATTGTCATTATCATTACAATTGACACTTTATTTTTTCATAATCTACCCTGAGGAATAGATATTACTTTTGGTAGCTACCAATAGTTTATGGTTTTCTTTGTTAAAATTCTAAATTTCTTTTATATATATATATATATAAATACAAGGGTTTTTGAGAAGCCTTTTAATTTCTGCATATAATTCAGTATTTGATAACGTTCACAAAAAAAATTTTAAAAATATTCTTCTTTAATCAATGCATTATTGCCCATTCGTGATATGTAACGAGAAACTAAAACTAAACAACAAAATAAAACGAACATAAAAAAAAAGAAAGTATATATAAAATATAAAAGTGTATGCGTGCAATCATTTCCATTTTTCTTTTGCCATGTTAATTGTTTTCATTAAATTCATACTAGAGCCCACTTTTTACACACAAATAATAATAGAAATAGGAATAAAAGACGTCTCTCATTTGAAAATATTTCACTTGGTATTAGGATTTGTTAGTGCGAATCAATGCAGATGCATAAGCATTTGCATGACTAGCTTGGGGCTGGTCGCAGCATGCTCTCAGGACATATTTGCATCGTTTGACCTATTTTCTTGAACCTGAAAGTTCAAGTTTTAACTCAAGCCTGTTCAATTTAGAGTTTCTATTCGAATAAACGAATAAAAACGAATAATTCGAATAAGAATATTATGAATCGAAACTTTAGCTCAAATCAATAATAACAAAGATTTTTAAACGCTTTAGCATTTTGTTTTAATTATTT